CAAATGGTATACATAAAATTAAACTTTGCAAAGCACAGATTCAAAATCGTGAACGTAAAAACTTATGTGGTTATTACAAAGTAAGAAAGTTTTGCACTGAATGGGGTAACTTGTCATTGCTGTACAAGAATAACGTATTTTTCGGTAGAAAAGAATCGAAAATGATCAAATAACTTCTGATCTAACAATGCGTGAAATAAAAATATGTTTGTTTACTCAATATTTCAGTTTTAAAATTATAACATTTCTTTTGTCACGTTATTTGCATAATCAGCTAGAACCTTTGATCTTTTCAGCATTTTCTGACCAAAATTCATTCCCGTAGATGAGCTAAGAAATGGCAAATTAAATACAGTGGATTTTCATTTCATGTTTTAACGTTCATTCTGTCTACTTCGATTCATATCGGCAATAGGTTTAGCTTCAGAATGTTTCATTCGACTTCAGCATCATTTAATCGTTAGATTTATTACTCAATTGAAACAAATGCTCGAAGAGGTGCAGTACAGTACTCAACTTCAAATTCAATGTATACCGAAAACCTCCCATCAACGGTATAATTTTTTGAAAGTATAGTGTCTCTACTTTTTGCGATTCTTTTGACTACATTTGTACTGATTCATCACGTACCGATAAGAACAAGCAAAGGAAAGACGGAAATTTAAAAAGTAGAGACACTATTCAGCACTCCCAATGTTCCCAGAAGAAACCAAGTAAGTTGAATTCCAAATGCAAAGCAAGAGTGTATGCTGGAGAAAAGCAGTTCCAATGTGAAACTTGCTTGAAGAATTTCATGACCAAGAGTATTTTAATTCAACACCTCCGTACACATGCCGGTGAGCAGCCGTACCTGTGCGATGCATGTGAGAAAGAATTCGGTTGTTGTAGTGATTTAAATCTCCACAAGCGCATACATACGGGTGAGAAGCCATACATATACGATGAATGTGAGAAAGGATTCGGTACTTCATGTAATTTAAACATACACAAGCGCATACATACCGGAGAAAAGCCGTACATGTGCAATACTTGTAAGAAAAGTTTCGCACAAGACGCAACTTTGAAGGGACACAAACGCACACATATGGGATAGAAAACATACGAATATGCTATAAGTAAAAGTTCTTTGGATTTCTGAAAATCTGTGAATTCAAATCATATTAGCGTGCTTGTTGAAATTAATTTGCAGTTTGGGAAGACTTGATGAAGTTTGAATCTGATCAAGTTTTCATTCGTTCATACGAATATGGTATAAGTAAGAGTTCTTTGGATTTCTGAAAATCTGAACTACATCAAGCGCTGCGAATTCAAATCATATCAGCATGCATGTTGGGATAAATTTGCAGTTTGCGAGCACTTTCCATTCATCGAAGAAAGAACTCACATTGAAACGTTTTGTTAGTGCGAA